TGGATATTGTCTGATAGATGGGATATCCCCAATGCATTTGGGTGCTATTACAACAGACATTATGTGTTATGACAATGAGTTAACAACCAGGACTGATATAATTTTGTGTGTGTGTGTGTGGTGGTTACAAGGTCAGTCAAATTGACCAACCTTGTATAGAGTTAGGGCAGAGAAAATGTACAGTTTTACTGAAAAAAATATTTGAAATTTATTTAGGAGGTTCTATAGATTACACAAATGAAATTTGATATTTTTCAGATGAAGAAAAGTGTTTTAACCTTAACATGAATATTACTTTGCACTAGGAGCAGTAAACACTTTGACTGAATATGTTCATGGAGAAATTTTTAGTGAAAATACACCATTAAAAATTCAGATTTTTTTGTCTACAAATGATTCATAATGCTTACTGAAAGCTTGTGAAATTTTGTGAATATACATAAAACATATTAATAGTTATAATATGGAAATTAAAGGTCAATTGAGGGTTAATTTTTAGGTCGAATCGACTAAGCCTGTAGCGAGAGAGAGTTAATACTTGACAAATTTAGTCAATTTCAGACCATGTCATTATATACAACTTAGCTATTATAATATACAACTAAGAAAATGTAAGTAGTATTTATATTTATGCTAGTCATAAATTATTTCTGGCTATTTTTACAGCATTACCACTATCTGTGGGCTATTTTACACCATTACTACTATACATGGGCTATTTTTACACCATTACCACTATCTATGGGCTATTTTCACAGCATTACCACTATACATGGGCTATTTTTTTTACACCATTACCACTATACGTGGGCTTTTTTTTTACACCATTACCACTATACATGGGCTATTTTTTTACACCATTACCACTATACATGGGCTATTTTTTACACCATTACCACTATACATGGGCTATTTTTTTACACCATTACCACTATACATGGGCTATTTTTTTACACCATTACCACTATACATAGGCTATTTTTTTACACCATTACCACTATACATGGGCATTTTTTTTTTACACCATTACCACTGTGTGTGGGCTTGATAATGTGTCTTGACTGCAATATGTACTACCATGATGATGGCTGATGTTGTATAGGTTATGCCATTATACCAAATTACTATCGATGATTGGGTTACAGCAATTTGAACCATTGATTGTTACACTTACAGATCCATAGATAATTCTACATTTTGAAGTGTATTCTGATTTTCGTGTTTCAAATATAACAATTGAACCAAAGCTTGTTTTAATTAAGTTCCTGGATGGTTGTACTTTTGCACCAAAGTTTCTCTACAGTAGTGAATAAAAACAACTCGTATTTCAGTGAATTTGATACTGGAATCAGAAATAGTGCATGTAAGATAATTTGTTTTTTATTAAATTACGTTGATACAGTTCCTGTACAAAACTAGATTTTAAACTCAAAGATGTAATGTTGATTGAAACTAACTACATATTTCATGATCACCACACTGGTGGAAACATCTGATACAAGTATATACCTATAAAAGTTAACGTTTAAGTTCCGAAAGCTGGCAAACTGTAGGACTGTTCCTGTGGATTCTACAGTAAAATCGTCAGGTCCATATTAATCATGTGATCCTAACTGTTCTGTCACTTAGGGTGGGACTCTTCAAGTGTACGTTTTTAAACAAATCTTAATTATAGAAGACCATGTGTACTTTTAAAACATTAATAAGTATCATCTAATTATCCTTAGTAAGTCTTGTAAGTCAGTAAACTTACAATAAGACAAATAAGGACACCACACCAGTTGTTAAATAGTAATATATATTAATCACAGAGATGGTCATTTATTAATTTATTCATTTGACAACAAGATACTCAAGCTTACATTACACCTACATTAAGACAATATGTAGTCATGGCTAACAGGTCAAACTGTTTGATTAATGATAGTATTCCATTTCAGATCAATGTATTAATGTTTTTTACCAGTTTCGTTATGAGCGTGCAGCTTCAAAGAAAAATTAAGCATTAGAAAAGAAAATCTCTAAATGGTTTAATTATAATTGATAACAAATGAATGGAATTTTCAATATATGTATATATAGGTTAAACAATGTTTTGTTTCATCAACTGAGAACAAAATTCTTGCTTTTTCCAAAGTTAAAACTGATTGTTGTGAATTAGCATTTTGTATGTATATTTTTTGTTTTTTATAAGAAAACTTTTTAATAAAAGAATCTTCTTACAAGATAACCGAGTACAGAGGAAAGCTTGTAAGTGTATATTTTTGTGTTAATTGAACTCTAAGAATTGTTTTATTGTTATGAACTAGCAAGTGGATCAGAGAAAACTAGAAAAAGCAGAAGCTAAGCTAAAACAGAAACAAGAAAAGAGAGATACAACAGATAAGCCTGCCACTAAGTAAGTCTTATCCTTGTGTTTGGTGCTTTAATACTTTTGTTTTATACTAAAGATACTGTTTTTTTTTCATGTTATTGCAGTGTATTTGTTTGTGTTGTTGTTTTCATGACTTTATTAAATCACTTCTTTCTTTTTTTTAAATTAGTCAGTTGATATCAAATACAGAAGCAACTGCAAGTCAGTCAGTGAGTAAGAAAGAAATTAAACTCGAAGCCAAAGGAATGAACAAGACACAGGATATTAGAATTGAAAACTTTGACGTTGCTTTTGGAGACAAGTAAGTAGGCTTACGAGTACCAGTACAAGAGGTTTAGTTTTGTCCAGGGTTATTTGTTAAGGGTTGAATTCCCCGAAATGGTTATAACTGAATGAAAAAGAGGCGACTCAAATGATAGATTGGGCTTAATATTTATTTTAAGAAGGCTTATGTTGGTTTAAAGCTTGTGAGTACTAAGTGCTAGCATATTATATTGAGTTATACTGCAAGCATGTGGGATTGATTGGTAGAAGAAGTCTTATCTGTTTTAGGAAATAAATTCTCTCGGGCTAAGAAAAGATGACGTAGTGAGCACCCCTGCTTATTTCTTGATATGACAGCGTACAGCATAACAAGTTGTGTACAGAACACATTACCGAAAAATACGATTTTACTCAAAAAAACATAACCTTATTTTTTTTAAATTGAAGTAAAATATACGACTGTTAGCTGATTAAAATTATATCTAAGAACCATCACTTGTCGGATTGACGAATAACTAATGGTTCTTTTTTTGAACAAACTATTAACAAAATTTAAGCTTATCACCCCAACACTTGCACTGACGACTGAAAATAATAAATCTAAACAATGGGCAAGGAGACATAATTACATAAAACATCAGCTACTTTATCATTTCTCATACAGCAGTGAAAGATGTATATCAAAAGTGATTCAAATAGAACACATTCGTACTGATATGAAAAATGTTCAGTTGTTGATTCTATTTGACGTTTACTTTCTTCGACATAATACTTTTATCTATAAACTTGTTAATCAGCTAGAAATGGCAGCTTATTCATGTTGAATTGTATAAATTCTACCCATTTCTAAGCCTAACAGTCTGCTTACATGCTGGTTATCCAGCAGCAACGTGGGAATGGGGTTCTTTGAATTGAAGTAATGCTAAAAGAAGGCATTATTTTACTTTTAAAATGGAAACATGTAACAGTTGTGGTCTCATTTAGTTCCTCTGCTCAATACATCTTTTATCTAAAGGCTAGGAGGAAAGACAAGTGAGATAGTAGTAGACTGAAAACTAACTGAACTCTGCAGCTTCTGGCTGTGGGATTACTCCAACTTGCATTGTTTTTAGTTGTAGAGAAGCGATTTCATTGTAATGCATGTTAACTATAGTGTGGTGAATCGTACTATCTGCAGTGGTTGTATCAGATTCAAAAGGAATTTTATGAATGCGTTGATAAGGGCACTCAAGTTATTAAACTTGGGAGAACTAGAAAATCTGGTTGTTGTTTTATTTGTAGGAGATTGAGATGTGAAATAATATCTAGAAGCTATGATAAAATTACTTTGGTCTGTTATTTCTATTTCAAATTTCAGTCCTCGGTTTAATTATTTTTTATAATAAACTGATTCCAAGTAATCATTTTTATAGCTGATAAAGTGATTAATTGGTATGTACCTAAGGTAATGTATTAACTTTAAATGTTAATATTTGTACTATCAGGAAGAAAACACTAATAACAATTACATTGGTCCAAGCTCATGACTTTTTTTTAGTTTATTTTATTGAGATTAATAATAATTGAAAAAAATTACAGTGAGGAGAGAGATCAAGTAATCTCTTTTGTAACATGGTTTATTTATCCTTAAAAACACTTATCAACTTAGCAGAGATAAAGTATTGTATTAGTATTGGTTTTCTTTTACAGAATACTTCTTCAAGGAGCTGATTTGACTCTTGTGAATGGAAGACGATACGGTCTGGTGGGACGGAATGGAATTGGGAAAAGTACTCTCTTGCGCATGATATCAATGTAATGGATAGTCAGATTGGATACTTTTAACATCTAATTTTATATTTCTTTTTAGATCCAAATGTGATAATTTGTATTTTACCAAACTAGAGAGGCATGTACAAGTTATTTTTAAATATTTTAAGCTATAAATCTGACAAGGGAACAAAATTATTAACCATAATATATATAATGCCTTATGCTGGCAAAGCATGATCTGTTGAATATTGATAAGTAGTTTGTGTGTCATTACATTGTGTTCTATGAATGACGTGACTGTGTGTCGCAGGTGACACGTCACGTTTCACGAATGACGTGACCGTGTGTCGCAGGTGACACGTCACGTTTCACGAATGACGTGACCGTGTGTCGCAGGTGACACGTCACGTTTCACGAATGACGTGACCGTGTGTCGCAGGTGACACGTCACGTTTCACGAATGACGTGACCGTGTGTCGCAGGTGACACGTCACGTTTCACGAATGACGTGACCGTGTGTCGCAGGTGACACGTCACGTTTCACGAATGACGGGACCGTGTGTCGCAGGTGACACGTCACGTTTCACGAATGACGGGACCGTGTGTCGCAGGTGACACGTCACGTTTCACGAATGATGTGACCGTGTGTCGCAGGTGACACGTCACGTTTCACGAATGATGTGACCATGTGTCGCAGATGTTCTATGAGTGATGTAACTTTCTGTCCCAGTAAATGTAGATGGAAAAGTAAGAACTTTAAGTGAACTTACATCACCATCTCACACAATTAAAACATCACCTAAAGAAATAGGTGTTTGAAAATTGTTAAATTTTTTATGTGGGGAGGTATTTTTTTTGAGGGTTCTGAAATAAAATTTGAAAAGTGATTCTTATACAGATTGTCTTTAAACTGCTTTCCACCTGAAATATAAAGAAAACACTAAATAAATTGAGGCAGTAATGACCTATTAACAAAATGTAGAAGCTTAAAATCAGTATTATTATTGTCATAATATATCTTCTCTACTGAATTTCATTCATATGCAGGAAACAAACCTGATTGCAGTGATTTTTGTCTTGGCTTTAATAAACTATCTTCAGTTAACTAAACTGCTTGTTATTAAAATTTATGCTACTTGTCATGTGGTTAATTTAGTCTGGTTAGTGTTAGTGAAATAAAATGTTGATCTTTTTTGTTATCCAGAAACAAAGTAGATTGATATGAGACTTTGTTAAACTGTTCTAAATTAATGTGACATTCTATAGGAGACAGTTAATGATCCCTTCGCATCTCTCTGTGTTACACGTCGAACAGGAAGTGGTGGGGGATGATACTTTGGCTCTTCAAAGTGTGTTAGAATGTGATGAAGTTCGACAGCGACTGTTAAGAGAAGAACAAGAGTTAACGGCTCGAGTAAATGCTGCGGGGTGAGTGATTTAAGCTGTCTGCGTGTTCTGTAAATAAGTAATTGTTAGGATAGCAACTTGTTTATGGGGGAGTAATTTATTGACATCAAAAAAGGAATAATTCTTTTGTCTAAAGAATTCAAATAAGTGGCTTATTTTTAACTAAGATCTACATATAAGGTTTCTGGAGGTTTTTATTTTGTGTGTTTTTGTGCTGAATTTGCAAAATACACATGCTGAGAAATATGTTTATAACTCATTAAGAAAAATTCTTTTGTTTGACTACATATCTGTCAACTTTTTTAATAAAATATTATGTATATTTAGTGAAGTCTTCAAAAATTGAACATTAATTATCTTGGCAGGCTAGAATCAATTTTTGAACAGACTTTATTTAGCAAAGTGAGAGTTGAGACCAGGATCCTTCCCACATTTTGTTTTTGCAGGTCAGATGGAGATGATCCGTTAACCAATTCTCGTCTTGCTCAAGTTTATGCAGAACTGGAGCACATAGAAGCGGACAAAGCACCGGCACGAGCATCTGTGATTTTAGCAGGTCTTGGTTTTAGTGCTACGATGCAAAGAAAAGCAACCAGGCAAGTTTAAATCTTTCATTAATAAATCACATAAAAAAAAAAAGTGTTTATATTTAAGGAATGGAAACATATTTTATACACTAACTACAACTTTCCATTTTTAATTCTAGGGAGTTCTCTGGTGGGTGGAGGATGAGAATAGCTCTGGCGAGAGCACTTTTCTCAAAGTAAGTTTTCTTGCATAGGTAATCAAATACTAGCACTTCTCACATTCTTTTAATTTATTAATTATTTATTCGATATCTATAGATTGAGTCACTACCAACATGGCTTAATCCACTTCTCTCTTTTTTATTTCTTCAACTTAAATTCAGTTATAAAGTGCTTAAATATCATGAGCTTTGAATATTTGATAAGTATTGGATGTCTTTCTTTATTAGGTTTCAATAAATTGATCTAATGTAACATACTCTGTCAGCAAATTTATTATATTAAAGTGTGTAGAAATTAATTAACTAATTATTTCCAGTCTGGTAAACCCTTTAAATCACTATAATTAAACGTGCTATTATAAGTGTGTAAAATAATATTAAAAATACCATTTAATCTTGAGCCTAGAGTATTTGGGAAACTTTTCTCTCAGAATTTTGTTTCATTATGTAGCAGTTAATAAAATTATCTTATTTGAATGAATTAATTAAGTTATGGTAGGATCTTTAAAAACTAATGTTTCAATATATCTTCGCTTCTTTTTGAGTTAAATGAATTTTTTTGTTTATTTTTGCTCAGTAGGAGAATTACATATACTACAGTGAAAGAACTTTTAAATACTATATCTAAATTTAAGTATTTTACTTTTTCATCTTACACAATTCCACCTTCAGTAGGTACCAGTCTGTATAATTAAACAGTTTTATATATATATAACTTCACATTGCTGTTTTTTTTTTCTAATTTAGGCCAGACATTCTACTGCTCGATGGTGAGTTACTTGTTAATGTGTTGTTACTGAATATTGATTTTGTTTAAGAATTGTTCATTAATTATTTGAAAAACTTGTTGCTGATCATTAAGGAAATTTTTATCTCTAATTTGCATGTATAAGAATGTTTATATTACTTATTTTTGTACCATTTAATATTGGAGGAATTCACATATTCCATCGTGTTGACTAATTTAATTTTTTGTCTGTCACAAAACTAATCATAAAAAAAAAAAAAAAAAAAAAAAAAAAAAAAAAAAAAAAAAAAAAAAAACTGACCCAAAACATTGTTATTTTGACTTATT